CCAGGAAAAGGGACCTTGTGGTTCCTGATAAAGAGTTTGGATGTATCCCTAGGGAAATCGGGATTCAGCAGTAGGAGCAGAGAACTGACCTGATCAGGGTAACTGTGTGGGAAGATGGCACCAACAGGGAGGGTAGGTTGCAAGTGTGTGTGTGTGTGTGTGTGTGTGTGTGTGTGTGTGTGTGGTGGGGGGGAGGAAGGTTGCTGCTGTAGTTAGAAGGTCATGAGCGAGGCGATAAGGTGCTCGCAGGAGTGCAGGTGTTCCGGGAATGGAGAGGAAGGGATACCGGGAGACATTTCTCAAGTGGAATCAGCTACTTTTGTTCATCTTTTGAATAGGGGAATGATGCAGAGATAAAACGAAGATGCTTAATTACTTTTCTAGCTGAATGATACGTGAATATTGGTGCTTCCTGAGAACACGGGAGTGGAAGTAAGCTTGGGGGGATAAGAGCCCTCGTTTTTAGACCAATTGAGGTATTTTACTCAAAAATGCTTTGTAAGCTTGAAAGAGTTTTTCTTTTTCACATGGGGACTGGGGCTCTGGGATCTGACCTTGACCTCTCCAGGTGGAATCCAGACCCTTGACCTGGGCACAGAGGCCCAGGACGGAACAGAGGGCTGTTTTGCAACATGGGCAGCAAGGATGGAAGTCACAGCGATATTCACACTGAGGAGAGTGACCTTTGCTGGCCTATAGGCTGCCGGCCACGCTGGGACTTGTGCTCTCTGCCATCTCCTGCTGGGAATACTGGGCCATTTGGGCAAACCCCCATCCATGTCAGTGAGTCAGAAGCTTCTGGAACTCCATCCACCCCACACTTATTCCTGTCCACCTCCACGTGTTTCCCTGTGGAAGGGGCTGCTCTGTTTGGCGGATTCATCGTCCGTCTGCTATCTTCCAGCTCGATCCTCCAGAAAAGCTCTGGTCTTCCAGGGAAAGGGGCTTTGAAGACTAAAGTGCAGTTCTCTGGAAAAATGGATTTTTGGGCTATGTCTGTATAATGGTTTTCTCCTTTTTTTGTTTTGCTTCTTGTTTATTTTGTTTTAAAGGGCAGGTGTTTCCTGCTGTCTTGGAACAGAGCGGCGTGTCTCTGGTATTTGTCTGGAGTAATGGGACAGAAACTATCTAGGCTTGCACACAAACTCTACCCCCCCAAATTATAAAACAGTGTGGGACTTTGGGGAAAGCCCTGAACTCGAGGGACCTGGGAGCCCAGAGGGAAGCACGTTTAAGCTTAGTCTGTAGGTCAGCCAAGTCTGTTTCAGAGGAGATGGCATCTGACCTGAGCCTTGGAGGATGAGTCCGCCGGGTGTGAGAGTTGGGGCGCACAGGAGAGGTGGACCACCTCGGCCGCATGGAATGTGCTTTCCTCATAACTTCTCATGGCGTGCTGTCTTACTTCTTCCGGGCTTCAAATGTCACCTCCCCACAGGCATTTGGTCTGAGTACTTTGGTCCCTCTATTCCTTTACCTTGATTTAGTTTCCTTAATATCACTTATCATGACCTGAAATCATCTTATATATATTTTTGTGGATTTACAGCCTGCCTTCCCTGTGGGAATGTAAGCGTGATGTGGGTGGGGACCTCCTCTGTCTTGTTCAGTGTGGCGTCCCCCTTGCCTCCCGCCTGATGCCGGATTAGTTTGCTCGGTTTGCCATAACAAGAGACCAGAGAGTGGGCTGCCCAAATGACAGAAATGTATTTCCTTGCATTTCTGGAGGCCAGTAGTCCCAGATCAGGGCATAGGCGGGATTGGTTCCTTCTGAGGCCCGTGAGGAAGGATCAGTTCCATGTCTTCCTCCTAGCCTCTCGTGGTTTGCTGGCAGTCTTTGGTGTTCCTTTTCTTGTAAATATCTCACCCTGCTCTCTGCCTTCATCTCTATGTGGCCTTACCCCTGAGTGTGTGCGTCTGTGTCCAAATTTTCCCTTTTTGTGAGGACCCAATTCATATAAGGTTAGGGGTGCACCCTGTTTCCGCCATGACCTCAACCTAACCAATCCTATCTGCGATGACCCTATTTCCAAATAAGATCATATCCTGAGATATTGGGGGCTAGGACCTCAAGATACGAATTTTGGGTGGGTGCAATTCAACCCACAAAAGGCACACAGTAGGTAGTCAAAATATATTTGTCAAGTGAAGGAATGCATGGATGAAGGCACAGAGGCAAGAAGCAGCTCGGCGGGGGGCTGGTGGGGAGGCGGCCTGTAGGGAGCTCTGGGTTGTTTGGGGTTCTTGGTGCTTCAGGGGCAAGGCAGGGACTGGTGAGAGCTGACACCCAAGAGGTATGTGTGCCTCCTCCTCAGCATGGGAGAAACACTCAGTCAGAGTGTTGCATGATCCTAACTGCTGCTGGTGGGGAGGTAGGCGTGTGACTGTCTCCGTGTGCGCATCCCTGCTCCTGCAGGCCTCCCTCCACCGCACAGCGGAGCTGCGTCAGCACTTTGGGCCAGCACCGTCCTGCTTACAGAGGGCCACATGGGCCCCCGCTTACTCAGCAGGCTCCGGAGGCCGAGTCTTGTGGGAGACACTGCCACCAGGCCGTCTCTCCTTTATATCGCAACAATAGGCTGCCCTCTGCCCTCTGATAAACAGCCCGTCCTTCACGAGCTGACATCAGGGACGGGTTGGCGGGGGTTCTGAAACATTTCCTTCAGGGTCATAACCACGGAGACACGATGTCTGATTAATCAACCCTGGTGATACAGCATGGGCAAGGTAACAGCACATAAATAGCATAGGAACCCAAGATTAATGTGGAAATGTCCCTGAGATATCAGGATAGGAAATTGCGAAGGAGCCAAGGGGGCTCCTTGGAGAATGAGCTGGAAGTCAGAGGGAGATAAACTTGGGGTGAAGTGGAAAAGAGCTCTGACTTGAGCCCAGCCTCTGCCACCTGCCAGCTGTGAAGTCAACCTCCTGCCGTGACTCTTGGTTCCCATAGCCTAAAGGTGGGGATTGTGTGACCCATGATGTAGTGGAAATGAGAACACATAGATGAGACTTGAACGCAGAGGCTGGCATGTAGCAGGAGCTCAGTGCACGGCAGCTGTAATAGCTCACATAAACTGAGTGCTTACAAATGGGCGAGGCACTATTCTAAGTGATTTAACCCCACGAGGTAGGTAAGGTCAGACAACTCATTTTGCAGTTGAGGAAACAGGTTCGGGTGATTTAAGTCAGTGCCCAAGGTCACCTTGCTACCAGGTGATGGAGCTGAGATTCGGGTTGAGGCAGTCAATCCTAAAGCTTGTGCTTTGGACTATTGTGCTATGTAATTATTGGCACAGTTACAACCGGTGTTGGTATGCTTTAGCTATAAAGTGAGAATTTGGGGCATTTTCAATCAAGAAAACTGAAAGGTAGAGAAATAACCAAAGTTATTAAGCAATTCCCAGGTGCCAGGTGATAAAATACTTATCTCCATTACCCCCCCCTCCCCCCATGCAGCCTGGAAAAGATGTATTATCTTACTTGCATTTTAGGAATAAGTAAATTAAGACTCAGAAATATCGAACAGCTGAGATTCACACCCAAGCGTCTCTGGGCCCGAAGCCCAAGGTCTGTCCACTGCACCCACTCACTGCTTCCAGGAAATTTGCTCAAGTTAACGTGGAAGGGGCGGCACGTCACCGAGAGCCCTGTCCCCAAGGGATGACTAATACATGGAGGCTCTTTTTGACTCGTGTCAGAGCTGACGGTTAGGTAAGGATGACCATTAACAAGTTTGCAAGACGCTGGGTCCAAAACGAGTAACAAGTCAGACTCCCAGAGGAAGTTAAGAGGGCAATAGGAAAAATACTGCTGGTCTGATGGTCTGTGAAGTGCTGAGGAAACATTGGTGAGTAAGGAAGATGGATAGGAGAGCCTATATTTAAAACTGGCCGGAGGTAGAGAAGGAAGCCATCAACCTAATTTTAGAAAGCCTCAGACTCTGAGGCTCCTAAGGTACGAGACAAGGACCTCAGTGAAGATTACTTGTCATTTATCATCCACTGGCCCTCAGAGGAGGGGCTGGCATGGAAAAAGGACGGACTTCAAGGTCAGATAGATCTAGTGTTGAGCTGTATGTGATCAAGTGACTTATTTCAGCTCTCTCAGGCTTGGTTTTCTCATCTATAAAATGGGACGGTAGTATCTGCCTGACAGAGCTTTTGTTAAGGATGAAGTGAGAAAAGGTTGAAAGGGCCTGATGAATTGCCTGGCCTGTGGTGGGCACTCAGTTAATGTTCACTGAATGAGTCTCGTGGGGAGATGAAATGTTTGTAAAAGGAAATCTTCATTGACTCATGATCAGAGCACCACCAGGAGGATCTAATTTCTTTAGATCAGAAGAGAGATTTTCACGTCTACAATGTTCAGCCTTATTCAGGCTTACTACACACTAAAGGCTTTAAGAGTGGTTATTAACTGCATGACTGTAGATGAGTGTATTCAAACCCTGGCATAAATAAAATATTGTTGCCAATTTCATAGCACACTCTGAAGTTCACATTATAGGATTTTAACATCATTAACCTCTTTTGTCCCCAGTATTGAGGAATCTTTATGGCTTTTTTTTTTTTCTGAGTCTAACAGTAATATAAGGTGGTTGAAAATAATTTTGTGAATTCAGGATGATATGAAGTAGCAAGTGAAAGAATCCTTTCTAATTGGACTTCCCAGACATAACAATGTTTTGTCATATGCATACGCTTCCAGACTTTATTCTCTGTTCGCATAAACATGTATGTTGCAGTCTACACACATGTGGACACACACACATACACACACACCCCACTTAGTGCAGAATCTTGATTTTTAGCTGAGCATTTTGCCACCTGGAATAAAGACTACCTTTCCCAGTCTCCATTCCAACAAGTCGTGTGCATGTGGCTAACTTCTGACCAATAGCAGATAAGCAGACAGACTGTGCAACACCGAGAAGGTTGCTTAAATGAGGCTAAGTCAGGTGGGAGGTGCATCTTTTTAGCTCATTTCCTGTCTCCTCCTAGCCTACAAAACAGATGTGAAGGAGAGTTCCAGCAGTCATCCTAGGCCATGAGGGGACCCTGAGGATGGAAGCTACACGTTGGAGGCCACAAGAAAGTGTCTGAATCATTGACAGCTTAAAGGAACAGCCACACCACTTCTGATCGTCCTTCTTTGGGCTCTCTTTAACATTGGAGAATAACCCCCTGTGAGCTTAGGCCACTATGATGAAGTCATCTGCGCCTGATACTGAATGCAGTTTCTAAATGACACCTAGTTCTCTCCCACCCCTTCCGCTTAACTTTATATTGTAGATATTTTCCCTGTTAGCACATTGAAAAATCTGTATTCTTCCTCATGATTAAATATTCCCGCATAAGGATTTACTCAGTCCCTTATTGATCAATCTCGTAAGGCCTTTTCAATTTTTGGAAATTATAAACAGTGTGAGACATAAATCTTTGTGCCCACGGTAATGTTTTCTTAGGATAAGAAGAGGGATTTTAGGGTTAACTTGTTTGTGCACCTTCAGTTGGTAATTTAAAAATGGATAAATACATTTGTGTTTACACAAATACACAGTACACAATACAATGTGTTGCCAGATTGTCTCCAGAAAAGTTGTGAGGTATACTTCTTTAGGTAGAATTAAAAAAATTTTTTTTGGTGAGATTTTTCATCCGTGCAAGGCACAGAGAATAACATTAAAAACACCTGCATACTCGCTCTCCAGTTTAAGAAGTAGAACTCCTCCACAGTTCTCTGAAGTGCCCTGCGTATCTCATTCCAGTGGTATCGCCCAACTCTTCTCTCCCAGCGGGCCAGTGGCTCTCTTGATCCATCAAAGATCCATCAAAGGGGGCCAGTGGGTGAATCTGTAGGATTCGTTCACTTGTAAGTGACAGACATTCTCCCCCACCCAAAAAAGGATGCATTGGTTCCTGCCCTTTGAATGCCCTGGGGCAGAACTTGCTAAGATGATGTCATCGGGGACCCCCTTTCTTCCCTTCCTGGGCCTTCTTTTCTCCCTGCTGGCTTCATTCCCACTTTCCACATGGTGCTGGCATGGCAGCCGCCACCTCCATGCCTGCGTTCTCTGGGTTCACATCCAACAGAAAAAAGTAGTGCATCTTCCCAGCAGCCCCCTCACAAAACCCGGCTTCACCCAGACTAGATTAGCCAGGGTGATGTGCCAATCCTGAGTATATCCAGCTCCCGCTATGGATTTGTCAGCTGGAATCCATCCGGCCCTTCTGACGCTCATCTGTGGTTTTTGCCTGTATTGGGTTATCAAACCCCAGGGGTGACTGCCTTATTGGTAATGTGGCCCCTGGCCACAGAGGAAGCAAGAATAACCGTTGCTAGCATCTTCTGAGTGCTATCGTGTGCTGGGCGCCTTGCCTCATTCAGTCTCCCCAACAAATCTGTGAGGTGGCTACGATGTCCGTTTTATCAGTGAGGAAAATAGAGGCTTAGAGAGGGTAGATGAGTGACCTGAGCTCGCATGGCTCGTGTGTGTCGAGACTGGGATCTAGCCCTCGGTCTACCTCACTCTCGTGTCCGGTGGAGACAGCATGCCATACCATCTCTTGCAAGACGCTTGTGTTTACCTCACAAGGCCGTTGGAAAATGTAACACGAAACCATTGTGTGAAGCGGAGCACTTCACAAACATTAGTTCGTTGAGCTCATTGATATGTCCTAAATTTACCTCCTTCAAGCCCCCGGGGAAGGAAGGGGACAGCTGGGTAACTGGCCCAGCAATGCTGAGTAAACAGATTAAGTAAGCGATGAGGGAGACAAGTTATTCCCTGAACGATTGTTTTCTTTATTTCCACAAATATGTCTTTGCAGAGATATCTACAATGGTTTAAAGTTTTAAGAAGAACCTAAGACACTTTCAGGGATTATTTACTCTGGGCAGAGTGCTGGGAGGAGCCAGTGTGATGGAAAGTAGGATTCCGAGTGGACAGGTCAGGTTTCCAGCCTGCCTCTGGCAGCTGTTGGCCCACCGTGTGGCTCGGAGCTGGCCCAGTCCCCTTGCTGGCCTCAGTTTCCCCGTTGGTTCAAGGTGGGGTTTGGACAGACATCCCCTATCCAAAAGCCCGTGACAGTTTTTCATCTGTAGAACAATTCCGGGGTGAGGGTGATGGGAGCCCAGGCTAACCAGGTGTCCTCCGGGAGAATCTCAGGAGGCCAAAAAAAAAAAAAATGCCTTCCACTGGCTGCACAGCGACCTCCTTGTGGGTTGTGGAGGAGCTGAGCAACGGGACCCTAGGGGTTTTCCTGTCTCTGGAAATATGTGACTTCGCTTATTCCCCAGCCAAAAGCTTCGTGACTCCTGCAAGGGGTTGCCTGGAGCGTCTGGCCAGGCTCCAGTTTGAATGTGAGGAACATAGGTCATTAGCAAGAGACTTTAATGTCCCGTAAACCGGCTTCCTGGAGTGGAGTGCTCACCCCAGTATAATCGAGCTGTTAGCAAGAAACCCAGCCCGTTTCCAGCCAGGAGAGACTAGTTCCATGGAAGGCTAAGGAGGGGTGCAGTGCCAGAGGTAGGAGGGGCTCTGGAACTGGGGTGGGGGGAGACTGCTAGTCCAGGCTCTGCCACGGACCCACGGACTGGAGCAAGCTCCCCTCCCTCTCTCTGGGCCTCATGGTCTTCATTTTCAAAATGAGGGGTGATGTTGGATGTCCTTTGGGACTTTCCAGCTCCGGCAAAAAACATATGAGGAGATTAAGTGAGCAGACTCAGGAACCACCTTGCCCGAATTCTGATGCAGCCTTGCCGCCCACAGTCTTTGCGTTCTTAGGTAATTCGTTTAAACCGCGCCTCTGTTTTCTCATCTGTGCAATGGGAATACTCACCGTATGCACCATGTGGGGTTTCCCATTTCAGACAGTGCCTGGCATAAAGTAAAGTAAGTGGCCTGTAGGTATAAAGAGTTACTGTGATCATCACCCATCCCACAGCAGGCGATGCCCTCCGTTTCGGAGACCACTGTGGGGCCCCGCGGTGCCGTGGGCTTCCTGTGCCAGTGGGAAGTTGACTTTACATCCCGTTCTGGCTGTTGAGGACCCCGTGGGGAGTGATGCCTCTCACTGAGGAAATCCCGGGGTGGGGGCAAAGTGTGAGAGTCAGAGGTCTCATGGCAGGGCAAAGGGGGGGGGCAAGAGAAAAGAAGGGAAGAGGAGGGGGGCTACTCTGCATAGTCAGGGCCCCGGGGCGGGGGGGGGGGGGAGTGGGCGCCAGGCACTCTTGGCTCCCAGTCCTGGCCGTGCCGCTTACTTGCCACGGGAGCCCTGGGCAAGTCTCTGGATTTGTCTGACCCTCTCGGCGCTCAGCTGTACGACGAAAGCAGAGTGCCCGGACCACGGGTCTGCGGAGGGTATGAATGAAACAACACAGCGACACAGTGTTGGCTCTCCCGGGGATGCCCGGCAAGTGTGAGCTGAATCTGAGTCAGAGGAACGGAGGATGCAGCTGGGGACAGCACCAGGGCACGTGGCTCAGTGCCCGTGAGGGTGCATGTAAGGGGTGCGTGTGTAAGAGAAGAGGAAGAGGAAAAGGAAAGGTATGCAGTTTCCTGAGGTTTGGGAGGGCCTTCCCTAATGACCTGTGAGAATCTCATTACCCTAAACACCACTGCTGTGGTCCAGGCCCACGCCCCTCCCACGGGGACATCCTCCCGTGGCCTCTTAACTGGCCTTCCTGCCTCCAGCCCGCATGCTGCTTTCCTTCTCCTTCACACTGTGATCCAGTCTTCTAGAATGATACTCCACTTAGTATAGTAATGGCTCCCCGTGGCCCCCAGGATGAATAACAAATCCCATGGCAGGGCTGTTTTCGGATTACCCCCCTATCGGTCTCCCATCTTCCCTTCTTCACCCCGCCCTGTGCCTCAAGACCCCGAGCCGTCCTGACTGTGCCAACAGAGCCTGCTTGCGTGCGTGTTTCCAGTTGGGTTCAACGCCCGAAGCTCCAGGCGGTGGGAGGGGAGGAGAGAGTGGTCAGAGCATTTACCTCCTGCTTCCTTCCTGCCAGGTTCCCATGGAGGGCTGTGCCCCTGGACCACAGGCCACAGCTCCTGCCACAGTCCTGTATACTCCTCTTGCCTCTTATCTCTTCAGGCTGCTGGTGCTGCTGCTTGCTAATCCATGACCCCTACAACATCTGTTATCAGTCTCCTAGTCCCTGCTCACACTTTGTGTGAAGTCCCTTTCTTAAGCTTTTCTTAAACCGTGCAGGCGAGCATGCCTCCTCTCTCCTGCTGGGACCCTGGCTTACGAGGCCCTGTGTGATCCCCCCCCCCCCCAACTGATCTCTTCCCTGGCCCCCTCTGTTATCACATGCACCAGCCTCCTTCTCACCCCGGGGCTTTCTGGCTCTGTTACCCCATATCTGTTTCTTCCGAGAAGTCTTCCTTGATACCCCCAGGCTCCGTCAGAACGAGCCCCTGTACGTCCCCCATCACGGCAGTATCATACTGTATACTGTCATTGTCTGTTTACTTGTCTCTCTTTCCTAACCGACCACGAACCCCCTGAGGGCAGAAACCCTGTCTTGCCCCCAGGGAGAGGGAAGTACTGTAAAGGCTGGGAACACAGACTCTGGAGCTAGCCTGCCCAGGTTCAGAGTCCAGCTCCTTATACCCTGGCCACGTCTGTGTAACCCAAGCAGGTCGCCTAACCCAATGCAGGGATACAGAAAATATATACCTACAGGCTTGCTATGAGAATTAAATTAGGTAATATATGTAAAACTAAGCTTTAAAAAAATATGTATTGACAAATGTAATATATGAAATGTAGTGTAGAATTGTTAACTAATTTGAGACATGGAATTAGTACCCAATAAATTATTGCGGTCAGCTTGTGACACAAAGCGTATGCTCAACAAATAGAGAATGAATGGATTCTTTCTTACAGGTAGGTCATTGCACAATACTGTACTTTCCTGTTGAGTTTTTACAGCAGCCTTATGAGGAAAAGAGGGTAGAAAAATTCTATCTCCACTTTGTAGAAGAGGACATTGACCTTGGAGGGACTTGCCCAGGGACCCACAATTGACCCAGAACTGAGCGGCAGGTGGAGCCTGGATGAGCAGATCCCGCGGGGCGCCTGCGCCTTCCCTCAGCTGCCACAGGCGGTGGGAAGGTCTGTGGGATTCAGCTCCGGCCAGTTCTGCCCCCCGGGAGAGGGGACGATGTAGGGTTGGTAGGGTCCAGGGGCTTTAGTGGCTTCAGCTTTGGTCGCTTTCCCTGAAAGTCTCTGAGTCACCTCTGGGATTTTCCAAGTTATCGGCTCCTGGAGGGTTAAAAAAAAAAAAAAAAGTCCATAGTGTTGCAAGTTCTGAAGCCAGCTGCATTTACATGTTCTGTTGGTCCAAGTGTTCATCTGGGGAAT